GGCAGAAAGTTCCGGAATACTGAATCCTGTGGCACCCCAATATTTAGGGACTGAAGAGAGGAGAATGAGTGACAACAAAATGAAATGGAATAACTCAAGAGATAGAGGGGGAAAAAAACTAAGAACAGGAAGCTTTCCAATACCTAAATGAAGTTGTTTCAATCAAAAGAGATTGCTCAACTGTATCATGCTTTTCCTGGAGATTTAGATGAAGACTTATTATTAACCACTGCACTTGTAAACTAAGACAGTTAATGACCTTGGCAGCATGGGTGTGGTGGTAAGCATATCCGGGAAACTGTGGAACTGGGCAAAGATAATAAAGGGGCTGCAGAGAATGTAGACAATGCTTTTCACAACTATTTCTTTCTGTAATCTTTTTTTTTTGGTTATGGGGCTTGAACTCAGGACCTGGGCTGGTCCTTGAGCTATTTTTGCTCAAGGTTAGCGCCCTATCATTTTGAGCCACAGCTCCACTCACAACTATTTCTTGATATGAACCGTAGAAGGAAGTGAAGTCAGGAGCTGGCTTTGACTGGAGACTCGGGTGCAAATCTGGGGGAAGGTCTTGTTTCATTAGTTCAGTGTCTTTTCTGCAGATGTGGGTGTTCTCAGGACAGAAAACAGTGCGATGGGAGTTTGAAGCTGCAGTTGCGAGGGCAAAGTCTTGCATAGAGGAGAAGGGATAGGACCTAAAATAATGGGGGCATTCGTGAAACTGTCACAACTTTGTGGTTTTAACATTTTGAGCTAAGTGATCATTTAGAGCTGGGTCTGATATTTCAGAATCTTAAAAAGTTTTGTGGTTACAAAGCGTCACAGTAGAGAAAGTCCATTTATATCATGCACTATAGTTGATCCTCTTCACTGAGCTCAGTGAGTCGAAACTGAATATGTGAATCTCATTTTTTTTTTTTTTTTTTAGTAACTGTGTTTCCTCAGCAGGGTAGACAGAATTTTCTCTGCCCTTCTTATCTCTTACACGATATATCATGTGCACATTTTCACCCTATTGGATATTTTAAAGAAAATTCAAATATTCTAGGCCAAACTACCCTTTAGCAAATGTAGCATTTTTAAATGAACTATGCACCTTGTGTCCAGGGACAGGAGGGGTAAACTGGGGAAAGCATAGTAAGGGGTAACATTGTCCTCAAAGAGAAATGTACTCATTACCTGACTTATGGAATGGTAACCACCCTGAACAGCACTCTAATCATAACAATAAACTTATACTTAAAAAAATAAATTCAGCATTTTAACCTTCTACTATGCATTAAAGAATTAATTTAAAAATTTAACATGCCCCAATTAAGTTCTTTCCATTCCATGTGTATTCACTTCTTGGATATCTACCATGAACTTCAATCTTAAATTGTTGTCATAGCAACAGCAGTCACAAGATTCCATATCTCTATGATACACAAAACTGAGCCAAAGGGGAACCCGAGGCCAAAGACTGGAAATTGACTGATATTGCCAAGAAAATTATCTCTGTGCTGCTAGAACCACAACCAACATCTTGTAAGTCATATAAACATATTCTTGTAATTTGTGTTTTTGATATTTCCATTGGGTTGTAATACCATACAGGTAGATTATGAAATTCTATTTTGTGATGTAACAGTGAATATATTTAACTTCAGAAAAGACTCTCTCCCTTGCATTTCTCATTGTCTCCATCACCTCCCATTTAAGACTAATAGGTTATATAGAAGTTCATTGTTCCTGGGTGGAGGAGGGCTGGCTACAAGGATAGAGCTTCACCCAGAGTTAGTCTGGGCACACAGAGCTGGCATCTGCATAGTGGCCTTAGCAATCATAAGTAAGAATCTGTGAGTCTGGGAGAGTTTTCTAAAATGCCTGTAGTCTTTGTCCTGCCTCTAGGCTAGTTACGGGCACCAGAAATGACCTTGACAAGCAGTTGTTGAAAGGAAGTCACTACCTCCTTTGAAGGGACTGTTGAGGCCTGGTTGATTTCTTATCACCAAGAAACACCTAAACAGGAGCAAAAGATAACGTGGGACCAAGTCCACAAGAACTATTCTAATGGTAAAGAAAGCACCTTGGGAAAATGTTTTTTGGAATAATACAAGGGAAAAAAAACCTGTGAAGTGTGTCAGCCAATTCTGAACCATTCATAAAATTCAAAGTACGTGTTTCCTATAAAGAGGTTCAAGGTGAATTTATAAGTCCGTGGGTTATGATAAAAATGAAGACAATGAAAGGGAAGTTTTCTACAATGGTAGAACATTTTAGGATATAATGCTCTGAAACTAAACATGAAGATAAAATTTAAATGCAAGGCAAAATGTTGAAGATGGTTCAAAGGGGAAGAGCATACAAAACCAATACCAACTGAAATGACCAAGGAAATATTAACTTCCTTAATATCACAGAGGTGATGGGCACAGACATGAGTCCAAGCAGCTGGAATCTGGAAAAGGCCTTTCTCCTGCAAGAACCACAGAAGAAACAGACTCAGAGGGAAGAAAGGAATCCTATTGTGAAGGGATTTTCAAGCAACTTTGGGAAAGTGATGACAGGGTCTCAAGGTGAAGGAGAGTTACTGTCTTCCTGGGGGAAAATCATAATGTTGGAGAAACCCTGATTGCCTGGTGATCATCCACAATCTCCCGGGGGGAAATGCCCCCGAATCCCCTTTGTTCACAAGGAGCACACATAACTATTTGCTTGCTCCCAGAGTGTACAGCCATGACATGATCAACAAAACCCAATAGGTATTCATCTCCCCAACACCCCAAGTTCCTCATCTTCCAGCCTTTATACTGTGAGAGAAAATATTTAACAGCTACCTAATTGTTTGATATCTTACTAGTAAGGCCTTCTCTTGCTTAGCTTTACTGACATTTGTTCTTTGTCTTTACAATTCAAATCCTTGACTAGGATGTGTTCAGGTGTGAGGTCTTACTGGGAAAATAGCATTCCTTTCACATCTCCCAGTTCCTTTTCCTTTGTGAACTTTCTCTCTCTGCTTAGTGTTTGCAGGCCTGAGTTCCCACTACATCTATCAGATCTCCTAATTGTAAAGCATCTTAACCGGGGCAAATACACCTAACAAAACCCAGTGCCTTGGTCAGGTTTGCGTCACTGCTCAGCTCAGTAATGTGGTCATTGCTGTGCACATGTGCACTGCTGTTACTGAAATTCTGCAAGGCAATTGAGCAATCAAAGAACATGACAGCCCAATGGACTGTTGAATTGAGCATCAGTTGAGAGCTGGCCTGTAGGGTTGGATCCTCATGAACTGAGGACTGCAGGTCTGACAAAAGGTGGAGAGACTTGAAAAAAGGATGTGTGGATTTTTTGGCATCTATTCTTGATGTGTGTGTGTGTGTGTGTGTGTGTGTGTGTGTGTGTGTGTGTGTGTGTGTGTGTGTGTGTATTCGTGTGCTGGTCCTGGGGTTTGAACACAGGGCTTAGGCACTGTCTCTGAGCTTTCTTGCTCAAGGCTAGAATGTTTCCACTTGAGTCATAGCTCCAATTCTGACTTTTTTGGTGCTTAATTGGAGATAAGAGCCTTACAGACTTTCCTTCCTGGAGTGGCTTTGAACTGTGATCCTCAGATCTCAGCCTCTTGAGTAGCTAGCTAGAATTACAGGTGTGAGCCAGTGGAGCCTGGCTTTATTTTTGATATTTAAGATGATATCTTCCTGAGAACAAAAACAAAAGTGAGTAAGAAAGAAAAGAGGGAGACTGGAAAGAGAAAGGGAGAGGGAGAAGGAGATGGAGATGAGAAGGAAAAAGGTCCTTTTCTGGGACAAGAAAGGTCTCTTAATGTGCTTGTTCTTCTATTCATACCATGAATCACTTGAGGTTTTCTGAAGCATTAAGTATGAGAGCGGAATAGCTCCTTGGGAACTTTCACGTTAATGAAACCGTGAGGGCTGTGGAGTATTATATGAGTAGGAGGAAAAGAAAACAAAGGAACAAACAAATGTTTATAGAAGCTCTAAAGATAATCATTTAATATAGTTCAATGTGGCATATGTTGTAAGTTATGAATCAACTTACAACATATTACTCAGACTGTGGTAAGAAAACCCACATGATTCAATATTTTTAAAGGCTACAATTTTTTTATTACTTTGAAGTACATTTATTCATTCATTCTTTAAATATTCAGAAAACTTCTAAATGCAGGATAATTTCATAGAGTCTAAAACAATGGTTATTCCAAGTGTTTCTGAAAACTTTTTCTTTTCTTTTTTAATAACGTAGTTTTCACTTATATAAGAACACATAGTTTAACTGGGTACTGGTGGCTCACACCTGTAATTCTAGCTACTCAAGAGGCTGACATCTGAGGATTACAGTTCAAAGCCAGCCTGGGCAGAAAAGTCTGTGAGACTCTTACTTCAATTAACTACCAAAAAAACTAGAAGTAGAGCTGTGGCTCAAGTGGTAGAACACTAGCCTTGAGGAAAAAAAGCTCAGGGACAGCACCCAGGCCCTGAGTTCGAGCCCTATGACCAACACAAAAACAAAAGCAAGCAAACAAAAAGCTATATAACCTTAAGAGTGACTGAACTCTAAAGATTTTAGTAAAACTTCATGTCCCCTTCCCACCCCTACCCCCGAAAAAACCCTTCTACTAAACTGTGGCCAAAGTTGACCAGAAATCAAACACACACATGTGCGTGAACACACACACACACACACACACACACACACACACACAAAGAGAAAAGGTAAGGAAGGGAGAGATTATCTCCCTTAGGAATTCATTTGACTGTCAGCAGCCCATTGGTCCAGAATTTTTTTTGTTTGTTTGTTGATTGGTTGGTTGTTTGTGGAGCTTGAACTCTGGACCTGGGCACTGTCCTTCAGCTCTTCAGCTAAAGGCTAGTGCTCTACCACTTGAGCCACAGCACCACTTCCCATTTCTTAGTGGTTTCTTGGAGGAGAATCTCATGGAGTTTCCTGATGGGGCTGGCTTTGATCCAAGATCTGAGATCTTAGCCTTCTGATTAGCTAGGATTACAGGCGTGAGGCACCTGTGCTCAGCAGAATGTTCTGTGGGTAGTTTTACCACTATTTAGGTGTGTTCAGCATATTTAGAACTTTTTCAAAAACAGAACAAAATTGGTGGTTTTGAGCAGTTATTTCCCCATGTCGAACTCAATCTTTCTAAACACAAATCAAGAAAACCTGTGTTAGTCCTGACTTTCTCTTTGATCTGGATAAATTAAGATAATCTATAAATGTTTTGTTCTATTCATCTCCTTATCTGCGTTTTGCCAGGCCGTGAACAGAATGGACTTTCTTGTCTGGTTATCCAAGTGTGGTTTTGTGCCTTTGGAGCTAGCTTCTGATTAGGATTGACCTAATCAAAGTGAAGTAAAAAATAAAAAAGTAGTTGAACATAACCTCCACCACCAAAAAAAGATCATGTTTTAAACCTCAAAATTAAAGAAGTCTTAATGAATCTCTAGCACCTGTTGGACCATGTTGCCTGGATGGGGCATGTAGACATTGTGTCCTGGCCAGCACTGTACAACTATAGCTTCCTGGGTCTTCTCCTTCAGAGACCACAGGGACCAAGTATGAGCAGGGACAAGTGCTCTGATATTTTATAATCCTTTAGCAAGGTTTTGATCCAGCCTTCCCCCGGGCCCTGCCTATAAAGAAGTAAATACTCTGGTGTTAGCTAACAGCACAGAAGGCAGTTCCACAGGTCAGTGATCCTCTGTTTAAACCACCGGCTCCCCCCTAAAACAAAGAGCAGCAGGTCACAGCAGCTGATTGCTGTCACACTCAAGAAGATTTCGTTGTAAAAGGCAAAGCTGTGGTTACAACCCTTGGAGTGGCCGACCACATACAGGTAATAGATCCGGAAGATCTGATAGGGCAGAAAACAAACCAGGATGATAGCTATGAAAACTAGGCTTTTCAGTTGAGCCCAGAACTCCTGATGGGACAGTAAAGAGTGGCGGAGCCTCCTGGCCATGGAGACGGTGAGGAAGACTTGGAATCCCAGGAGAAGGGCCGCTGTGGCGATGACAAACACGACTATCAGATAGTTGAGAATCTGCACATAGTCACGGGAAAGCTCCTTATGGAATCTGAAACAGTGGTGTTCGTCATACTCTTCTCGATTCCCATACTGAGAAACTACCACAGGTACCACAATCACGATGACCAAGATCCACAGGGCTGCGCTGGCAGCCACAGCGTGCAACTTGCGGTAGAATTCCACCTTGTCCTTGCCCTTGAAGAAGGTGAGGTACCTGATGACCAGGATGACCAGGTAGAAGAGGAAGGTGAGGTACATATGCACGTGCAGCATGGCACTCACGAATTTGCAGAAGGGCAGACCGAATGCCCAGGTGCCCTGGATGAGGTAGGCCAGGCGGAACGGCACGGTCAGCAGGAAGACTCCATGGACCACCACCAGGTTAACCACGGCTGTGGTGGTCACTGAGCGGGAGTTCATCTTCACCAGCCAGAACAAGATAGCTATGATACCTGTCAGGCCCCCCAGGAGCACGACAGAGTAGAGTCTGGTGAGATGGGGCGTCAGAAGAGGATCGCAGGAGGAATTCCCAGAAGTATTGTGCTCAGCCATCTTCCAGATGTCGCCTGAAAGACAAAAGGCAGGTGTGTGCCCCGCCAGCCCCCAGAGCCTTGTGCTGAGTTCCCACTGGGCGCTGAAAGGCTGTGGGATTTGTCTTTGGTCACGACATAAACTTTATGTGCCTTAAGAGTAAAGATGACTTCACCTGTGTGTCCATCAGAGACTGAGAATGGAGTAAGCCATCCTGATAAGTAGTTCATGTTAGATTGCTAACACACAACCCCTCAGACTGGTGACTTTATAAAGAAAAGCAATTAATTTTGGCTCATAGTTCTGTAAGGCCAAGGGCAACCTTGGTGATAACCTCCTTGCGGGTAGGGTAGCAGAAATGTGCCCGCTGTGTCTGCATCTCCTCTGGTCCTGCCTTCTTTCAATAGAAGCCTCTGTGATTGGGCCACAGGGGTGCTACCTTAATGATGTCAGCTAATCCTCATCACCTGTGGACGATCCCACCTAAAAGTACCATCATTGGTGTCTAATATTTCATTATGGGAGTTGTATTTCATGTTGAGGACCACACTTTGGTGTCGTTTTGAACCAAACCATCATAGCTGGCAACCCTTTTTCTTTAACCTGTCCTGGGCTTGAACTTGGGGCCTGAGATTTTTTGCTCAAGGCTAGTGTTCTACCCCTACAGCCACAGCTCCACTTTTGGCTTTTTAGTCATTAATTGGAGATAAGAGTCTCACAGCCTTGCCTACCCAGGTTGGTTTTGAACTGTGATCCTCAGATCTCAGCCTCCTGAGGAGCAGGATTACAGGTGTGAGCCACCAGGAACTATCTTGTGCCAATTAACTTGACAAAAAACTCAGTTAAGTCAAATCAGTAGGCAAGCAAAATAAGGGTTTAACTGGCTTCCTTATCATGGGTCCGTTGTCATCCAGTGAGGCTTTGGCTAAGTTCTCCTCATTGGAAAGGTGACATGGCTCCATATTTCCACATTTTACCTCTAGATGCTGGCAATTCCATAACAAAGCAACTGTCATTTTTCCTCCAAAGTACTCAGTCCCCCCTGATTCTCATTCCACATTCTAATTTATGATTTAAGGCACCAAATCCTTTAAATTTCACTAAATAAATCATGTCACATTTAAATTCTTTCAATGGCTTCTCACTTCTTTTAAGATAAAGATGAATAGTCTTGCATGTCTAGGATATTCTGTGTTATAGTGGCAATTATCTTAAAACCAGATCCAAGGAACTATCTATGTCTGGGTATAGTGGTTTACCTTTAATCCAGAATATAGGTGGTGGAGGTTGGGAGGATTGCAGTTTGAGGCCAGTCTAGAAAGGAAGTTAACAGGACCTCATCTCAGTTAATAAACCATGCGGTGCATAGCCATAATCCCAGCTATGGGATAGGTTGTAAGCAGAAAGATCTTGATCTGAGTCTGGCACCAGGGGAAAAAATATGTAAAATATAACATATATATGAGACCCCCCACATTTGAAAAGCCAAGCTCAGAAAGATAAATAGTTCATGTCTTACTTCATCTGTGGAATTTAGGCCTAGAAAACAAATAGGACATGAATGTGAAAGGGGGATTTTGGGTGGGGGCACTAGGAGGAGAGAATGGAGAAAGAAGAGGGTGGTGAGGGTAAAGATGGGGGTGATATGATCTCAGTATATCATATGCACCTATGGAAAGAGATGAGGAAAGCCAATAAAAACTGTAAGTAAAAAATAAAACCAGGATTTAAGAAAAGAGCAATAGAGAGGGTGAATGCAAGCCAAGTACATTATCTGTATATATGGAAGTGAAGAACTTTTGTACTACCAATGCATGCTAATTTAACAAAAGCCTCTTCAGGTAAGCCAGTGGCTCACACCTGTAATCCTAGCTACTCAGGAGGCTGAGATCTAAGGATCTCAGTTCAAAGCCAGCCCAGGAAGAAAAGTCTGTGAGACTCTTTAGCTCACATTAACACCCAAAAGCCAGAAGAGGAACTGTAGCTCAAGTGGCAGAGCACTAGCCTTGAGCAAAAGAGCTCAGGGACAGTGCCCAGGTCCTGAGTTCAAGCCCTAGGACACACACACACACACACACACACACACACACACACACACACAGACGAAATACAAAAGCTTCTGCTCTGATGCATAAGAAAAAATGGACATTATTCTGTTAATATTACATTAAAGAATTATATTCCCAGTACTGAAGTTGAAACATTGCAATCTGAAACAATTCTCACTTGCATTTAATGGTGTCCTATACATCTTACAGATCAGATATCTTTGTATAGAGGTTTCTTTCTACAACCATTCATAGCAACATCAATTCCATCAGAGCAAATTTGTTTATTTAAACCTAGACTACTAAAGATTTTCTAATCTGTTACTTTGTGGGTCTGGAAGAGTTGAGCATCCACCAAGAAAGGAAAAAGAATGTAGAAGATTAAAATGGCTGCACAAGGGGCTGGGAAGGTGGCTCAGTGATAGAGTGCTTGCTTTGCATGCATGAGTCCTGGGTTCGAGTCCTCACCATTACATAAGCAGAAAAAGCCAAGGTGGCACTGTGGCTCAAGTGGTAGAGCGCTAGCCTTGAGCTGAAGAGCTGAGGGACAGCGCCCAGGCCCAGAGTTCAGGCCCTACGACTACAAAAAATAATTCTGCACAAATAAAAAGTTCAAAGATTAAAATCTTGGAAAAAAGTGTCCTCATTGCAAAACACCTCAGCACACACATAAGAATAGATACTGGGGGGGAAGGTGGCTCAGTGGTAGAGTGCTTGCCTGGCGGGCATGAGACCCTGGGTTTAATTCCTTGGTACCACATAAACAAAAACTAAATAAAGTTAAAAGATAATATTTTTTTAAAAAGAATAAATGCTATCCAGAGATGAGAATAGCCCCCAGACTGGGAAAGCTAAAATGTCTGGGAGAAGCAGTGGGATATGAAGTATTGACAGACAGGCCAGGGTCATAAATGCATGGCCAAGACCTGGGACCTGGAGCACTGGAGATACCCAGGGAGAGCGACTGTGCTTAAGAACAAGGATCATTGGTAACTTTTAAGTGTGTTCTATGTGGAATCTTGAACTTTGTGCCTGGCAAGCATGGTCAAATAAATGTGCTTTTATCAAGTGAGAAGTTCTTTTTTTCTTGAATACTAAGTGTATGTGATATGTGTTTGGACTGTTCAATATTGAAGCTCCAGGTTTGAAGTTTTCCCTGAGGTCTGGATCACAGATACTTTGAAGAATGAATCAAGAACAAACCCAGAAGGTACTCAAATAAAATATTTCAGGCATACTATTATGATATAAAGACTCTATATTGCTTTAAAAATCAAAAAGGGCTGAGAATGTGGCTTAGTGGTAGAATGCTTGCTTAGCATGCATGAAGCTCTAGGTTCTATTTTTCAGTACCACATACACAGAAAAAGCTGTAGGTTCTACTCCTCAGTACCACATATTCAGAAAAGTGGCTCTATGGCTCAAGTGGTAGAGTGTGAGCCTTGAGCAAAAGAAGCTCAGAGACAGGGCCCAGGCCCTGAGTTTGAGCCCCAGGACTGGCACACGCATGTGTCCACGCACGCACACACGCATACACACACACTAAAATAACATGTGGTAGCTGGTATTTGGTACAGAGTTATACCTATAATGATTTAATAAACTTATGAAAAAAAAGATTCATCAGGAACATGGAACAAAGAAGGGGAGGAGAAAGAAATCAGAACAAAATTAAAAATGAAGGAAAAGAAAAAGAAGAGAAAGGAGACAGAAAGGGAAAAGAGTAAATTAGGCTTTGAGAGTCCCAGCCAGCACTGCTTCTTTCCCTTTTTGGCTTGAAGCTGACTGGGATGTTAGTATGAACTCAGGTCTTTAATTACAAACCCAGCTGGTTATCTAATATAATACATACTGTCTGCCAGGCAGAGCAGTCCATCCAGGTACAGCCTGAAAGAGGGTATGGGATACCATTTCTGTTTCCATGGAAACAGGGAGTCTGAGAATTCTTTAAAAAAAACCACACATTAACAACAGTTATTTGTTGGTGCTATTTTGGCTACTCACACAAATCTCATCATTTTTCTCTTCCCCTAAATACATTCACCATGTTCAAACACTCTCAGCTTGAGGTCTCAGCTCAGATTCTACTGCTCAAAGAGTCTGCTGGTCTTCCCAGACATCCCCAGATATCTTCACAAAAGAATCTGCATAGGCATGTCATTCCTTCCTTCTTTATTTCATTAATTCCACATTGAAGTTATGTGTGCTCTATTTTTCTCCTCCTAGGGCTTGAACTCAGGGCCTGGGGGCTGTCCCTGAGCTTTTTTGCTCAGGGCTAGTGCTCTATTTCTTGAGCCATACCTTCACTTCTGGATGTTTTGCTGGTTAATTGAAGATAAGAGTCTCTGAGGTTTGCTTGCCCAGGCTGGCTTCAAACCCATATCCTCAGATCTCAGCCACCTGAGTAGCTAGGATTATAGGCATGAGCCACCAGCCCTGGGCTTGTGCATTTGTGCTTCAGATTTCTTTCAACACTATCGTATTTGTTTTCAACGGGTTGTTAACTAGATAGGTAAAATAATGGTGGAAACCATATTGAATTGTGAAACCTTTCTTTGACAGAGTCATAACTGGTAGACCACTAACTGATGTCAGGATTTCCAAAATCATCAACAGACCCTGTGCAAGCTGTCCCCAGGGAGCATGGCTGCCTTTCTAGTTGCCTATGAACCACCAAGTCCTGTGCAAGAGGCCTTTCCTGATCTCTTGGATTGACCTGAGAGAGCCAGTATGACGCATTGCCTCCAACTCCAATTTTCCTGTACATCCTTCGAGATCCGGTACCCATTGCAAACCTGAAACCAAGCATTGTTACTCCATTTTCCCTACTTGGTTTATTTCCATGAGAAGAATGAAGTCTGAATAGCTTTTGTGCTGTTAGCCCTTTACATTTCAGGGCATACTTCCTCTCTCTCCAGTCCTAGCTTCACCCACCCACCCAAGCTCCAGACTCACCATTCCTAGAATGTTCTTTCATGTTCCCAGCT